TTTTCACAAAAGATTGCATTGTCATCAGTTTCTAAGCTATCCTGAAAGTTTCAGCTTGATAGCTAGTTGGGAAGTGAGCGAAATTTGAGTTGCAAAATTTGATCCGGACAAACAAACAGACAAGAAAGCGAGTTAATAAAACGTGTTAATTGATAAAAAAAAACATGTTAATTATAATTAGAAAAAAAAAATGTTCCAGGGGGTGGGATTGAACTCGGACCTCTGCGACCAATTCAGTACACCATGGGTTTTTTTCTTGGGGCCAAGGAAAACCTGCTCAAAGTTTTATTATAGAAATCTACTATAATTATTTTATTCTTTTTAAAAAATATTCTTAAAATTAATTTTTTCACAAAAGATTGCATTGTCATCAGTTTCTAAGCTATCCTGAAAGTTTCAGCTTGCTAGCTAGTCTGGAAGTGAGTGAAATTTGAGTTTCAAAATTTGATCCAGACAAACAGACAGACAAGAAAGTGAGTTCATAAAAACGTGGTAAAATACTGAACTTCGAAAGTAATGATAAAGGTTTTTGAGGAGTAGGATGATTTGTATCCGGTTGAGGTTATTAACACCTGATACATTTTATTTAATTTTGGGAAAAGTGAAAATTGTAATTAGATCTGAATCAATCGGATGCGCCACGGTTAGGCTCATTTTTCAAATCCTTCTTTGAAAAAATAGTCCCTCACCTAAAGGAACTGATGATGAGGCGCAAAAAGTGCTTGAAAAAAAGTCGGTTGTTACCGAAAAGAAATCGCGATTTTTTCACGATGAATTTGGGCTGAATCGAAGCACACCTTTTGGTCAATAGTCGATTAAATACATGCAGCTGACCATGGTTGAAAACAAGCCTTGAACTGAATGCGGTTTAATTTCTCCCATCAATTTTCTCGGATCCGCGGCCAACGATGAGAAAAGAAAAAGGGAACTTCAGCGGTAATTTGACCGCGAATAACCCACGGTTTTTTTTTCTTTATTTTCATTCAACCCACCTGGGAACATTTTTACAAGAAAGAGTCTAAAGCCGGGGAAATCCGGAATAAAAAAAAAAGGAAATAACCGGAAGAATATCGGGGCTTTATTTGCGGATCCCGTGCCAACCGGACACTTGGTACAAGAAGACGGTCAGTCAGCGGGGGGTCATTCCCTAAACGCCACCCAACACGAAAAGAAAATAAATAAAAGTGGTGTGTGTAGATATAATGGAAAGGAAGAATCAGGGCACGGGATTCTCATCCGTGACAAAAACCCGCAGACGTTTTTCCTCAGAAATGTCTGCCTATTTAGCTCGTGTATTTTTTTTAAATTTCATTTGATTTTTCATACTGCAGTATATAATTTTCATAAACTTTCGTCGCGCTCCTCTTTCTTACCGCTCGTGTGAAAGGTTTACTGACTTCATTTCTAGGAACGATTATCTCCACAACCACTTTTCGAAGCCACAATTTATTTTTAATTTTTAAGATGATTAAAAAAACTCAACCGATGAACTGTCTAGACTTAATCCCGTTTACCTTCCAGCTCTTCAGCTAAAAAAAAGAAGAAATTGTCCTATTGTAGGAAAATCCCTGAGGGGAAAAATGCCAGGAATAAATTCCAAAGTCCTGCATGGATATCCTGATTTTTTTTAAATTTGCAGCATCATGCCCCTTTCTTCGACTGAATTTGAAATCGGTTTTTTAAGATGAAAAAAGCAATTCACGACCCATCTAGGCTTAATCCCGTTAAACTAATTCTATATCTTTTTTTCATAATAATAAGATTTTATTAATGAAACTCGTTGAAAAACAAATATAATAAACTCGCATTCTAATGTCAAAGAAATGTGAAATTTTTCTACAATTCCATACGGTTTATTGTTGTTTATTTTCTTTGAAGTTATTTTGAATTCACAAATCGTGATGCAGTACATTTTTTGCGACAATCCTCACTTCCGGAATGTGAGATTTATTTCTTTTCAAAATGAGAAATTCTGTTTTCTATAAAACTCTCTGAAGGGATAGGTTTTTTTTATCCACTAATAGATGAATTTAGATTCACAAGAATAAACGAATCTTTAATTTCTGTCATTTTCGTTCCAATTTTTTCGGTGACGACTTTGCAATCGGTATCATTCTTCAATAATGCATTAAAACACTAAATATTCCAAATATCGCTTTCCTCCGTCGCATGCGAATAAAATAGCAAGGTGCTGATTTTCTCGCTGGCTAGTATCGAAGTCTTCATATCACCAGTCTCGAGTCGTGATATATTAGCTGCAACAATCCTCACTTCCGGTGGGTGAGATTTATTTGGGAAGCTAGAAATCACACTCGTAATGCTCTCAACCAAAGAGTATTTCTCCCAGTGTCCAACTACTTTATCCCTACTATAGTATAACACCTTCACGCATTGCAAGGGCAATTTCCCCCCGGGAAAAAGGCCATTTTCCCACAATAACCAGCAGCAGTCGTCAATATTTCATCGAAATCTTCCGAATCCTTTCCCCCCCCCCCTCCACGACTGTTAAAATATCTACACAATATCGAAATATTTATTCGAGTTCGAAATTCTTCTTGGATTATCGCTTCAATTCAACGAAAATTAAGAGATTATGCCGAGTTGTGGCAACGACAAAAATTCCGAGGTGTCATTTTTGTTCGGACTGAAAGACTCGTCAGCACTCAGCAGTCACCTGACAGAACCTTTTTATCATCTCACCTGTGCCCCTGGAAAATGGAATCATCGTCCGTGAAAGCGAATGCATTCATTCCTTTTGTTCCAGCACGGGAATAAAAACAGACGGACAGTAATCCTTGAAACCACGTGTGTTCATGAGGGTGAAAAAAAATGGAGTCATTGGGAAGCCAAGGGTTGAAAGGACTTTTTATTGCAGCAGACGATTGCGTTGTAGAAGTGAACAAAGGCAGGATTGGTACACTTGGTTTTTGTTTTTATTTTTAAAATTCATTCTAATGATGTCACAGAGGAATGCTCTGTGAGCGACAGACCAGAAAGATTACTTGTCACTGGGCATTTTTTCTGCTGGCTTCATCGTGAAAAATATGATGAAAAACAAAGTTAAGATCAGGAAAATAACTATATTAAGCTTTTCAAAATGTAATCATTTAATTCATATGGAGATTAAGAAGTTTACGAGGTATTCGCAGATGAAAGTTACTAAGCTTGAGACAATTTTCTTGTTGATTTGTTTTGTCATCTTTGTGGAAGTAAATTGTTGAAAAATACTGCGGCGTTTCCTTTGAAAATCAAATCAATGTTTATTTACAATTATCGAAAAATAAAAAGTATTTGCGAACGTTAAAAGTATTGTAAATATTTTGTGACGTGTTCAGTGTGTTGAACGATTTTTAGCATTTTCATTTGCCACTTTCTTCATTGCGATCAACGTATTGTACAAATTTTAATCGAATGATAATTCGGTTATTTCTCCGGAATTGTCTTTTGAAGATTCTCCGAAATGAAACATAAGTCTAAACGTATTCTTTTTCGACCCAAAGAGAGAGACATAATTTTAAAGCAAAATTGTATTTTTCAGTGTTGTCAGTAAATATTCAACCAAAATTATTGAGTGAGATATTATCTGGAAAAGTTATAAGGATAGTATTTTAAATGTGCATCGTGCTGAATTTTTTTTTCTTTTTTTTAGCATTCACATCCGCCACTGGTTTTTATTGCGATCCATTTATTGCATGAATTTCTTCATCGAATATTATTGCTGCCATTTCTGCAGGATTGTCCCTCAAGCATTTTCCAATTCAAATCCTGTATATAAGTCTAAACGTGTTTTTTTTTCGAACACCAGCATTGAGAAAGATATGTGTATAATTTTGTTTTGCAGAAGTATCCCGATTTTTCCACCTGAAATTCCTTGCACATGAATTCGTTACATTACCAATTAAATTTTTTTATTTTCGCATGTTTCAAGAAAATGTAGGAATCCAAATTTGGTGCGGGTCCCTCGAATCGAGGGAAATTTTCTGGGTGTACAAATAATTTTGAGCAAAACCGAAAAAAAAACCCCTCGCGAAAATATTCCAAGCCGTCCACACGACTTTAAGTACTATACAGCAGTAGACATTCATAATCCGCGGTGTTCATTAGGAAAAGTTTTCGTGTATGTTTCTTTCCAACAATAAGCAGCGTTTCTTTGACATCATTGCATCATGCGGAAAACATGTTATTTCCGAAGAAAAGAAAAATACACCGAGGATAAAAAAGTGCCCTGGGAAAATTCCCATTTAAAAAGAGGCCGTTCAATTTCCGGCCGAAATAACGTGCTTCGCATGGGTTGTCCGTCCATCACACGGGTACCTGGCTGCGCGAAAAGGGACTTCAAGTTCCCTGACCTTGCGTCTCAAGCCTCAGTTCCCCCAGTGCATAATTTTCTCGAAAGTTGCAGAAGAGCAGCAGAGACTGACTATAGCGACGACGAGGGAAGGCAATTAGCGAGTTCTTTTTTTTTCAGAAGCGGCGGAAAAAACTGCAGTTGACAAAGGCCAGAAAGTGGACAAAGATCAGAGGATGAAGAAGTCGTTGGCCTCATCGTCATCGTCGTCGGGTTTATTTTTATTTTATTTTATTTTTATCTCAATCGCTGCGCAGCTGAAACTTTATAAAGATGAACACACTCACGACACGCCAAGATTCGCTAGGCTGACGTTCTTATACGAGTATAGCGGTTCAAAAATCTCGACCCGTGTTGCATCAAGGGCGACTGAGAAGAAAGCGAAGTTATTGCGGTGTCACAGGTCAGACAAAAATCTCGATCGTCAAATAGGAATGAGCCAATTATCTAATTTGGGGGGGAAAATGAGCAGCGACGCAAAATGGCGTTGACATTTCGGCGGAAAGTATTTCCTGTGCCTCTTTTGCGCGAAACAAATACGTGGTGTGAATATTTTTTGAAAGAGGGCAGTTTTCCCTTTAAATGCTCATTGAATGCGCTTGAAGAAAGCACACAATTATTCCGGTGTCGCAGGTCAGACGGAAGCATCAATTGTCAAAGAAATTGTCATTTATTCAGTTTGCAAAAATAATTACTTGGGATATGACCTAGGGTTGAAATCGCAGCAAAAAATGCTTCCCGTCTAATTGCACAAAAGGAACAATATGGTCTGAAATTTTGAATGTACAGTGAGACCCCGAGATGAGGACATAATTGGTGCATCAAGAGTGTCCCCAAGTCAAAATGTCCCTAAGTCGAGTCTTGTTTTCCCATAGACTTACATTATATAAATTTTAATTGGTGGTTTGTGGAAGAAATATTCTTCAGGATTCACTGAAAAAAATTGTTTGCCACTTGAAATTGAATTAGTGAATACATTTTCCACTCAATAAGAGCACTTGGAGCATTGAATAGTGTATCTCTGTACTGTGCACTGAAATTTTGGCACCTAAAAAAAAAAATTCAAGTGTAAAAAAGTAGAAGTCCCTCTATGCTGGAAGTAATTTTTAAAATTAGCTTAATACTGATGGTAATTTGGTGAGAGAAGTGCCCAAGAACTTTTCTTACATCCATTTTAGGGTTGGAAATATCTGTTTCTTGTAATTTGGCTTGAAATGCAATTTTATCACAGAATGTCCATATGTTGAGTCAGTGTCCTCATTTTTGGCCCTTTTTATTAATTTTTATGAGAGACTAAGTGTCCCCATGTCAAATTGTCTGCATGTCAAGGTGTCCACATGTGGGGGTCTCACTGTGTTTTATTTTTTATTTCTGGTTACAGATAATAATCTGAAGGGAAGTGTTTCAAAAAATGCATTATACATATGAGAGATTTGGGCTAGTTTTGCAGAGAAGTTGAGTCTTTTTAAAGAAAAGTATTTAAAAAAAAGAGGTTTGAATGAAATTGTTTGAATTCAGCTTTACATCACTGAAAAATGTTCAACCCATGATGGTTGAAAATTGAAGTGCGCTAAAATTTCAAAGTTTACCCTTGTAAACTGTATACACTGAAAATTAGCTGTGTTAAATATTGCATTGAGGTACTGTACAGTGAAATCTCTTCACAAAAAGTTTTTTTAAGCTTTAAATCAGCAAAAAATAATTATTGCCATTTTTTAAAAATTGACTAAGTGAGGCTATTCTGGGGAAAAATTATTGATTGTAAACAAGATTATATTATGAGAAGAACCATTGTATGGGAAATCTTTATGAAAATGTCTTTGCTCAACAATTAGATCTTTAGTACATATAGGTGAAATGTATTTTTTATTTATGATCAAGTTGAAGATTAACTGCACATGAGATTATGAAAGAATTTCATTGAAAATAATTTAGCTCTTGAGCAAGCTTAGTTATTTGAATTTTACACTTTGAAAATTGTTCTATATATTTCTGAGTTTTTCCCTTGTGAAACACATTCCCTGTGGTGTATATTTCAGAGAAAAATTTTGAATGGAATGTTTGAGGTGCTGATGTGGACACATGATGTTGGGTAAGCTTTCAAGAATGAGTTTCCCAAAACTTCAGAAAATTTGGAACTTATCCTAATATCAATGATAATAACTAGTCCATGTGCAAATTTTCTGTTCATTGGACAATCTTGATTGATCCCAGGAGCAACTTGAATTGGGTTTCAAGAAATTTTGAGTTTTTCAAAAATTTAAAAAGTGTGCTTCATTTCAGATTGTAAAGCATTAATTATTTCTGTGATTCTATGAAAGCCTGGAAAGTGGAAAAAAATTTCAGAGTTGTTTTACACAATCTGAAAATTAGTTCTGATGGATGCCATTGAAGAGAACAAATTGATCTTGGACCTGCTTTTCCTGTACTGTCTGTCAAAACATGGTTAACATTCAAAGAAAGTGTGGCTCATAAAAGTGGCATGTCCACATTCAAGAAACCATTGCACCATTTTCTCATATACTGTACCAGCATAGTGGCAGTATTTTTCCATGCACAGGCCTTGATTAATTTTAAAAATGTAAAGTATTTTGAGTAAATTTATGTTACCCAGGAACAGTTCATGAGCATACTTCTTGAGCACTTATAGTTTTCCCACATTTGAAAATGTTCCCTAAATTTCATAGCCCTCTTGTGAAAAAGCTCATTTTTAATGTTTGTTGAAACTATTCTCAGAAATATTCAACACCCAAGAAGTTGGACAGTATCAAAAATCCCATGTTGTCAAGAGTTTCAGTGATTCTGAGAGCATATTTTAGAAAATTTTTCAGACACCATATGACCTACCCAATTTATCTATGATGATATGCAGCCTGCATTAGAATTTGTACTTAGTATATGAGTGAAGGATAACATATTTGTCACATTCTTCCAAGCTGCAAGACATTCTGGGCATTGAACTAGAGCAGTATGATGTTTTGCAGAGAAGAGTGAGACATAATATCAGTTGGCTTACTTGGGTTTTTTTTCTATGAGAAACCATAGAAAAAACAGTGAACCATATTTATGGTGGGGGGGGAAGTTAATGTAAGATTTGTCTTACTTTTGGGGAAATGCAGTAAACCAACTACTACTTGTGGTCATGGGTGCTGTTCCAATGTTGTGTGCAACATGAACAAAGAGAGAGAAAAAATCAGCTTTGCTTTGAAAATTGTGACATAATGTTGTTTCTGCATTTGTTTGTTTCTATTCATTTGTGAGGGGAGTAGTTTTTTGTGGAGGGAATTGATTGCCCGGTGGTGCCTTGTGGTGACAACTGCTGGGGCTTCCAATGAGCCACATGCATCTGCAGAAAGAAATTTTTTGTGGAATGGGAATAAATGGAATTTTTATAATTCTCTT